TGACTCAGAAATGCATGTCAATCACTCCACCATAGATCGTCGCATAAAACGTCCTACAAATCTCAAGCTAAGAAAATACTTTTTAAAAAATAAATGAGTATTGTTCCATTATATTTGTCGTATTAGAGTTCACCTTTTCTTGCACTGGTGTTCACAGACATAAAAAAAGAAGAGAGACGTGAATGCATAAAATCAGACAACCTACTGTCTATCAGTGTACATATAGTATTGATGCTATATATAAATAGGTGGATTTCGTAGAAACGTCCTCTCACCAGTAGTTATAACATTAGTAGAATACTCAACTTTTCTGTTTATCAAATGGAATATTGTATATTCCGTATTCATTTCTTCATTAAATATATCATACAGCACTGAAACAGTATTATTCACTGGACGGCAGTGTTTTGAAAACACTTCTCTATAGTGCATAATCATATCACTTCGCACTACACAACAATCACACAAAATCTCAATTCCAGGGAAATATATACAAACGAACTGAAGGAGTTACCATGTGGTCATCAATATCCCCGATTGTGGCAGATATATGCGTCGGTGGCACAGTGGTTAGGTCTCTCGCCGACCATGCACATGGTCCGAGGTTCCATCCCCTGCCGACGCACACCTGATATCTATGGTTGGCCTGCAAAATTTGGGCTATCGGTATCCATGGTGAAAATTCCATACTTATACCAAAAATACAGTGTGGAATCAAGCTGTAATAAAAAAAACGTAAAATAAATTCAAGGATAGAAAGGAAAACGTAGTGATTGAAACGTTCACCTCTACTCCAAAAGTATGGTGGAGGTATGTAAATGAAACATTCATTGTACTTGGAATACAGGATATAAACAGATGTTTCAAACACATCAAATCAAAGGTGGAGGCAATTCCAATCACTTATGAATCAGATGGTCAGAGAAGAGGAACTTCCAATATTAGATTTCATCTTAAAAAGAAAATACGATGGGAAGTTAAACACACACTAGTGTGTTTACAGGAAACCCACACATTCAAACCGATATTTGGATTTCCTGTCTGCTCACCCCATGTCAGTGAAAACAGAATTGATGAAATGTTTTAGTAATAGGGCACAAAATCTAAGTAGAACCTAGGGAAGCATAAGACAGGAAGTCAGGCATATAAGAGAAGCTTTGAAACTTAATGATTACCCCGGATCAATTAATCACGAAGTATGTGGAAAAATGTAAAATTAGAATTATCAATTATAATAGTGGTGATAGCGACATGCGTGTCAAACACTCACAGAATAACGACAACGACAACAATGCAGAGAAGGAACCTCAGTAACCATACGACATAGAATTCTGAACAGTACAGACAGGAATGAAAGTGACTGGCGTTCAATCACCCAAAAACTCAATTAGAAACAAGCTTTGTCGGTTGAAGGATCAGTCGTGTGGAGTGCAGCCAACTAAACAAAACAAAAAAATTCAGTTTATCTAATAGCCTGCTGGAATGACCACCATGTCAAATATATGAGTTAGAGTGGTTCAACGGGGTCAGTCAGACCCTGAACACAGTTAATAAATCTGGGGGACAGTTCAGCTGTAGTACTCCCTACATGCATTCTCAAACAACCATTCAGTAAAGGAGGATGGGATAAAATGACAGTTGTAGAATCGAATGTCACCGGGTGGAGACAGCACGACTGATGGTGGAATCGATATTCATCGAATAAACTGAGAGAGATTACATGTAGTGGGAATGGTTCAACACGTGTCCACATGGACATCTGGAAAATTCTACTACCCCTACAATGATGAATCGGAGAGAACAAAGAAAACAATTAAAACGAAAGACTGGAAGTTGTTTGGTTGATTGTAATTGATATAATTATGAACCACAATAAATTGTGTTGGTAACCTAGTCACCCAGTAAATAATAGTGTTTCACTACTATGTGGTATATCTATCTAATAAATAGATTAATATGGAATTGCATACTACCACAGTGCCCAAGTTTTACATATTTTCGAATCAAGTATAGCATTATTGACTTGCGACTTATTCTTGGAGCTTCATTTCATGTTGTTTAGGATAAGTAAGGTTCGAGGTTGAAGCGGATTTTAATGTTAGACCCACAATAATTTTTGAACATCTTACTGGGGTTATCTGCGGGTCACTGGTCTAAAGATTGCAAAAACCTAGGTTTCCGCCTTCAATTAGGATTTAATCTATTAGAAACAGATGTTAAACTTAGCCAAAGTATGACTGTCCATTGATTCAATCTGGAATATACTTTCATGTACCTATTCTTATTCACTTAGTTTTCAAGTTTACCATGGATTGCTATCAGTTACAGAACGATTTAAAACCAGGGAGTGCTGAACAGCCTTTTTTTTCTAGTTTGGCTCACATCGGCAATACATACCTCCTAGGTTTCTAACTCAAGACCTCTCGGTTACGAGTCAAGCTCTTGGACAATTCAGACACCGGAATCCAAACTGTTGGCCAGCTCATGAATTCTAATATCCACCAATGCGTGATTTTTAGCACTTCGGTAACCAGTCAGTATTATCTGTGGTTAGTATTTGTCCTCCACCCTGACCAGTTGGACCCAACTTTAATGCTAACTTTTATTGGTGTATTCACTGAAAATGCAATGTTGTTCAATTGCCCAAACTATAAGACTTCTCTCTGTGCACATATGACTTCATTTAGATAGGATGAAGAAGATTTGTAGCTCAGCGCTAATTGAAATATGCGCTGAAGATGTTGCCTAGTAGGGCAATGAAAGCTTCGCAAATAAACTATTCAGCTCAGAGAACACAACCATATCAAAAACATACGACTTCATTGTTTATAACAAGAGAGAATAGGAGATTAAGTCCACTGCCGATCTAGCACTGTCTTTTTCATGAATGTGTGTTCCATGCAAAGTTAAAGCGTGATTTAAGGAGAAACTATACTATTTTTTTCATATATATATATAATAAGTTGTTAGCATTATTAATTGTAATTAATTAATACCCTATTTAGCGCGTACTTTATGTGACGAAGACTCTGTTAGACGTGAAACTTACAAGTCACTATGTAATTAGCACAGTGAATCGACCCTTTTATCGTTCATCTTTCTGTATTTTATGGTGTTACACTTTCTATCGTTTAATTGTTACTCTGCTATTTTATTTTAGTCGGTATTACTATTATTACTACAATTTTGTACTTTATACATATTTTTCTCCGTATGGCACACAGTATTTTGCTACGTAGCTGCTACAACAATCGTTTTATTACTATTATGTATTGTGTATTTTTAATTTTTTTTGTCGTTTTTGGGTAAATTAGATGCAATATTGTACTGAATGCTGAAAATTCCTTGCTGTATCATGAGTACTGTTTTTGGAATAAAGCAATTATTATTATTATTATTAATCTGTTTCATTCCTTGGCGTTCCCTCTAGACCATCGTGCTTCAAGCTAGATCTTTGCAGCAGTAGTAGTGGTTTTATTTCACTGGATGTCATTGTAAGCTTAACGCCCCATCTACCCTCTTTACCTGGCTTACTACGAACTAAACAAGGTAAAGCAGTGTGTCAGGCAAGGATTAAACCCCGGACCACTTGCTTGTTTTACCATTGAACCACCGACTCAGTAGGTGTTAGCATGATACACCGTTATATCTCCCTTTTAGTATGTAGCTGTCATACAAATCACAAAAGTTTGGATATCTATCATGACTAGATGGAAATCTAAGCGCAATCTAAGTCACTGGCACCTACTACATGAAAGGAGAAATTAGCAAATGAAAATGTATGCAGAAAAATTTTAAGGCTTATTTGTTTGCTCAATTTACACCGAAATTTTCGCAAATTTATACTAATACCAGATAGCTGAAAATAATTCTCTTCAGTTTCTGAAGAAACTTTCACTGTTTTAATCTCATAAAAGAAGCCTGTAATGAAACGAAACTGACGAGGATATCAAAGCAAGGATCATCGGGAAAGCAAGACAAGCTTGCATTACTCTCAAGTCTGTGTGGATGTCAACAGCACTACTCAGCAATGAGATCCGGATTTTCAACTCCAATGTGAAGTCAGTGCTACTTACCATACAGATCAGAGACTTGGCGCGTCATGAAGAGCACTTCGAACAAACTACAGACCTTCATCAACATCTGTCTTCACTCAATACTCAAGATCAGATGGCAGGTCAGAAGAAAGATCAGCCACAGGCAGGGATTTCTAGGAGCGCAATCAACTGAAAGAGAGAATAAAGACACCCAGTTACCACGGGTATGGGGAAAGACTGATAACTGATTCTTTCTGAACACATAAATCTGATTTCAAGCGTTTGATACAAATTACTTCAGCAAACTTGAGGAGAATTGAGCTGCTTCGATTATTGGTAACTTTAAAGGATTTCGCGATTTCCACCTCATGACCCGTATCGAGGAAGTGACTGATAATAGCACTATTATAATAGTTTGTTCCCTTGAGATGTAGGCTCGTCGGCACATGTTCAGAAAATCATAGCTGTTGGAAAACAGTGAGTGAATATGCCTAATACTCAAGAAGGAATGATGTTGAACACAGCTAAGCTGAGTTGAAGTTATGCAGTATATTGCATCAGGTTTATCAGCCTTATTCTGCCACAGTTTGATTAGAATTAAATAAGGCATTCGCCTGAATGCCGTTATAACGATTATCTTAAACTATAAATAGACGGATAACAGAAAAAATACACATTATAGGCCTTAAGAATTTGGAAATTTCAGTTGTGGCGGTGTTCTTTTTTACGGAGTGGCGCTGCTAGTCATACACCTAACACCTTCTCACTGTTCTGGCCTGACTGCTAGATTGACGAGGTTCAGGAGTATGTTGGCCAGTGGTCGTATGTGAACCTCTTGTGTATTCAGCGAGCATTCTCTCACTGAAACACTGAAGCATACGTTTACTTATAATAGTTATTCTAAATAAATAATAATAATAAAATGCTGAACAGCTTTTTTCTTGTTTATCTTTTTACTTTTAGTGCAAGAAGGAAACGAAGGTGAGTTTTCAGAATCAAGAAGATTCCTTATTGTTTCAATTTAATACACGAAGTTCATTATCCTTCATAACTTGACTTAATACATGCACATTTCACCGAAAACGAATCATAAAGGAAATAAAAGACAATTCCATTATAGGTAAAATTTTATTTTGATAAAGTATCACACAGTGGTGTTACACAGTAATATTTACTTATGTGACCACGTTTCAAGCACAAATTATCGCCACTCATAATCATATCAAGCTACTCACACAACTTTCTTGTTTCCTTCATTCATATACATGTGTGGAATTGATTAAATATTGGAATAAAAACCAATGTAGGATAATGTACATTCAGAAATAATAATACGAGTGTTATTCATCAAATGTCAGTGCTACTATACGGATCAGAGACTTGGCGAGTCATAAAGAGCATCTCAAACAAACTTCAAACCTTCATTAACAGCTGTCTCCGCTCAATACTCAAGATCAGATGGCCAGAAAAGATCAACAACAGGGTGGGATCTCTGGCAATGAGCGAACCAATCAGGAACCGATTGTGAAACGAATAGGCAGAAGAAATGGAGATGGATTGGCCATACGCTGAGGAAACCATCAAGTGAGGGACATCACTAGACAAGCCATTGCTCGAGTGGAACCCGAAAGGGAGGCGGCGAGTTGGTCGTCAGTGCAAGGGTGACTTGGAGGAGGTCATGCGAGGAGGAGATGAAAGCATGTGGACAGAACTGGAGCGGGGTGAAAAAGTTGGCAGAAAACCGAAGGCAATGGAGGTGCGCAGCTGAAGCCCTATGTTCCTCTAGGAACTAAAGGATACAATAATAATAATATTCATCAAATACAATCAGATGGGAAATAAGACGAGTGTTATACTTATAGTCAAAATAAATAACTTGTTAGAATGTTGTGATGTACGTGAACTGAATTGAAATAGAATACAATTTAAGATTATTTATTATCCTCCTCTGATTTGAGGGGGATGTACGTTATCCCATATTGATTCATATTCAAATATCTAGTCAATTCCACACATGTACATAAATGCAGGAAAAAGGTTGTGTGAGTGAGTGAGTGACTTGATATGATTATGAGCAGTAATAATTTGTGCTCGAAACGTGGTCGCATCAGTCAATATTGCTGTATAACACTGTGTGATTTTATCAAAATGAAATCTTATCTATAATGGAGTTATACTCTACCACAGTGCCTAAGTTTTATATTTATATCTGAAAGACAGTTCAGCGAAAAAGTTTTCTTTATCGATGAAATCATCTTTAGTGGCTGTACAGTCGTATTCATACTTACCAAAAATGTGTAGTACTCCATTAATGAGTAATAGAGGGGGGGAGAGCCAGTGGCTTCAGAAGTAAAAATTAATAACAAAAGTTACTAGTTACACAATACTCAGCAACGGCACAAAAGAATAAAGCGTTAAAAGTTTTTTAATGAGGGCAAAATTCGTTATTGATTGGGTGGTTCAGTGTCCATTTAACAATTTTAACCTTATTAAATATCTAACACTTTCTTCCTTTGTGCCGTTGTTGAGGATTACGGAATTTACAACCTTTATTTTTTTTACTTTTGCAGCCATCTCTGAGTAATTATATCAATTATGTCACCCCCCCTCTATATTACTCAATAATGGAATACTACACATTTTTGGTAAATATGAATACTTTCTAAAGTTTGGTTTGTTAGGGTTAGTTATTTTTTTACGAGTTGATTGATATCAGTTAGAGAACCATTGAAAACCAGGGAGTACTGGACAGCTGCCGTTTCATCCTAGTTTGGGAATCATCGGAAGTACGCACCCACTGGGATTCCAACCCAGGACCTTCCGGTTACAAGGTAAGCTAGCTCGTATACCATTCAGCCGCTGGAACCCTATTCAATGGCTCATGAATTCTAAATTCTACCAAATTAATCTGATGCTCGCTAGTGACTTGCTACAGGATGGAGTTTCCTGGAGTTCTAGTGAGAAGTCGTGACCAGCGAGGTCCAATTAGATGTTACGTGTGTGGATGAATGTCCCACCAACGACAATGGTTAGGGTTGCGCTAAGTCACGAATTGGTAGAAGTTAAAATTCAAGAGCCATTGAATAGGGTCCCAGTGGCTGAATGGTATACGAGCTAGCTTGCCTTGTAACCGGAAGGTCCTGAGTTGGAATCCCAGTGGGTGCGTACTTCCGATGATTCCCAAACTAGGATGAAACGGCAGCTGTCCAGTACTCCCTGGTTTTCAATGGTTCTCTAACTGATATCAATCCGTGATCAACTCGTAAAAAATTTTTATACCATTAAAGGATAAATCATCTGATTTATCTTTTTTTAAATTTACCTATATAGGAGTAAATCTAATCACTTCAAAATATAAATACGACTGCACATCAGCCTCTAAAGATGAATTCGTCGATCTGGGAAATTTTCTTCGCTCAGGAACTCTCTTCCATTTTCTACATGTAGATTTAATACCTCTTTAAACTAGTGGCTGAACCAAGATGTACCTTTATTTAAGTTGACGGATTATCTGTGTTGATATTCACTAATAGCATCATTTCACATAATTTAAGAATTTTATCCCATTTTATTTTGGCGCAAGGAGATTCATCGTGCTGAAGTTTCTGTAGCGACTTCGTTTACAGGGTGGGATTGCTAGCCTCATGCCTGAGATGTGGGTTGTTACATTAAAATACAGTTTACAGAGAAGCGACCTTGTCGGTTGCTCCCCTTAAAACCGGGAAAAAAAGAAATAAAGCAATCAGAATAACACTAGTAAAAGGAAAATAATTCAAAACAGGAAGGGTAACAAGCGACAACAACAATAAAAAACTTTAGCAGTAGTATGACAGTTAACAAAAATGATACAACTATCACAGACTCCCTGACTTGAGCCAACTTGGACGTGTAAATCCATCAATATATACAATTATAGACAGTCACAAAAATGGCAAGCATATAGTTATAGGTATTATCGGTCAACAAGATTATATCAACAGATACAGTGTTCGAAAGGCAAATAATAACAATATATACGACAGCTTCTTGGCAAGAAATTCCACAGAAACAAGAGTTTTCTGTGACTAAGTAATTGTAGCGTATTAATCGAAAAGCGCGTCAGGTGGACATAGAGAAAACATAGGTGATGAAGATTCCCGGCCAACACCAACAACAACAACAATGACAGACAAAAATCAGCCAGCACAAATGGGGGGAACCTGAAAGAAACAACATCCTTTACAACAAGCTTGCATTACTCTCAAGTCTGTGTGGATGTCAACAGCACTACTCAGCAATGAGATCCAGATTTTCAACTCCAATGTGAAGTCAGTGCAACTATACGGATCAGAGACTAGGCCAGCACGTCACTAAGAGCACCTGAAACAAACTACAGACCTTCATCAACATCTGTCTTCACTCAATACTCAAGATCAGATAATCGTTCAGAAAAGATCAGCAACAGGGACATCTGGCAATGAGCGAGCCAACCCAGTAGTAATCGATTGTGCAACAAATATGCAGGAATAAATGGAGGTGGATTGGCCATACTCTGAGGAAACAAACCATCAAGTGACATCACTAGACAAGCCACTGCTCGAGTGTAACCCGAACGGGAAGCGGGCGGTGAGTTGGTCGTCAGCGCAAGGGTGGTTGACTTGGAGAAGGTCATGTGAAGAGGATATGAAAGCATGTGGACAGACTTGAAGCCAGGTGAAAACTCTAGCAGAGAATCGAATGCAATGGCGACGCTCGGCTGAAACTCTGTGTTCTTCTAGAAATTAAAGGAAATAATAATAATAAGAAGAAGAATCTTATCCTAACTATATAAATCGTCACGCTTGGATGGCTGCAAATCACCTAAAGTTCAATGAAGTTTTAGTGGGCATGGGATATTTGAAAAAAGAGGATCAGTAGTAGTAGTAGTAGTAGTATAAAGGTGTGATACAGACAGTGTTTTCCAACGGAGCATTATTCTCACAGTTCAATTTGGCATTAGCAACAGAAATATATATATATATATATTTGAACATTCCATTTCATGTTGTTTAATGTAAATCAAAATCACACGCTTAGTGATTGGTTAACGAATATAAACTCTCCCTATATATAAACAACGGTTTGATTAACGAAAAATATACCTTGGCTTCCATGTCCTGCCTTCTGTTGTTACAGTAGTAAATATCAAGTTTAAATAAACCAGGTAACCTAAGTGAAATTTACACCATTCAGGAATTATTAATTTGGAATAAATGTTCACAGGGATAAAAAGCGTATCTAATGTAACACATTTCAGTCTGCTTCACGGAAACGTTTTCATTTTCGTCAGTAAATATACATTATATATATAGACATGTGTGCAGCATCGTTTTAGCTACATGCAGAACAGATGAAGATGTCAGAACCAGGAGTAGCAAAGCAAGGCAGGTACTCATAATCCTAAAAAGCAATGTGGAAGTTTACAGTAATCACCAGATGGCAAATGATTGAGATTTTCAACACTGATGTCATATCAGCGCTTATGTATGGTTCAGAGACTTGACGCGAGCTCATCACTAAAAGCCACTATAAACGTGTGCCAACACCTGCATTAGCTCAGTGACGAAGATCAGACGGCGAGTGAGAAAGGAAAGGAACGGACGAAAACCATATTACCCAGAGAATATGCGGAAGGAAGTGGAAATCGACTGAGAACATGCTAAAAAGACCGATGAGGGATATTACGTGCCAGGCCCTCCAATGAGGACCGAATGAAAGACGAGGAGATAGACGTTCGTAGGCAACACAGAGGAGATCGTGTGAAGAAGAAAATTATTCCGTTTTAGCAGTTATGAATACAGTGATGCCGGGGACAGAGTTTAATAAAGATATATCCCAAGGGAAGTCCACTCGAAACGCGGGAAATGAATTATAAACACTAACAATTACAGTGCTTGCATATTGAAAAAATGAATTTGAGAAACCGAGTACACTAAATGCAAATCTACAATTTATGTACGAAT